ACTAATCCAGAGATCTTGGGCTCAGCCATGAAATTGCTGAGATCAGGTGGCCATTAGCTAGGAGAGAGCTATTTTTTTAACCATTGTTTTTTATTTCTTTTTTTTCCCCCTCATTGAGTTTATTGGTACATTTTCGGTATACAGTACAGTTGCATTCATTATTGGGATCTTGTACCTTTATATGACAGGTCTTGGTTCTCATTTTTCCCCTTGTCCCTGCCCTCCCTTCCCCTCTCCTCTCTCCCCCTTTACAAACCCTTCATTTCCATTTCTTCATTTTCTCACATTTTTTTCTTTTCCTGTATTTCCTCTTTTAGGCAGTTCATGAGCAACCACTTTGGTGTTTTATTCTTTTGGTGAGTTTGTGACTCCGATCATTCTGAATGTATGTCCATGCACTTCTGTTAGGGTATTTATAGAAGTGGAGACAAGTTTCAGTATTTTCAGACTAGATTTTTCTGGGTGCCCTTCAACAATCATCTTCCCAGGGACTCTGGGTAGAGCAAAGTTACATGGGTGGAATCATTTGGAGATCTAAAGCAGGATGGCCTATTTGCTCAGTCAGTAGCTTTGAAGACTTTCATGCCCCTGTCCCTGTGGTTGAGCTTGGATATGCTGTGGTGGAACTGGAGTGCAGGATTTTAAAGTTGGACTTAGAGAATACATACACTGAGATTGATCCAGAACTTAAATCTGGCCCTTAAGACCTGGGTCCACAAATACTGGGTCAAGATGTGGTAATTTTCAGCATTGATTTATAGGGGATAGTGTGGGTAGGTTGTTGGCTCTAAGTCTATTTGAATAAGCCTGGACTCTGGTTTTCTTCAAGCCTGTGGTGGGCAGGATGAACCTATTATGTGAGCCTCTGATAACTGGCATGGTTTCTGTGAATGCCATTCAGGAGGCTGAGTGTAAAGCTCGGATATTGGGGTCAGGGCTTCAAGGGCTTGCTTGTGCATGAAGCAGTGCAGCCAAGGAACCTGAGTCCTTAGGCGATGCCCAGCATTGAGGTCTAATGGGATGGACTGGACAACTTGCTTTGTTATAGTGGGGATCCACAGTGACTGGCCTCATATCATGAAGGCCTAGAGCCTGTGTCTTCAAGTGGAGGCCAAGGGCCTGATACAGGGCTATCAGTCTGGCCCAGGCTAAAGTATGAGAGGATGCCTGTGTGGGATGGGTTGATCTGGCTTCTTGTAGAATGTGGAACTGGCTGACAGTGGTGTTTAAGTACCCTGTATTCAGTTCCTTTTCTAGAGCTTGGATTATGGTGTTCTGGCTTAATGGCCAGGGCTGCAGTGGGTGGCCAAGCAGTGAGGTGGGTCAGAAGGCTGGGATCATGTGAATCTGTCTGGACTGGGGTAATAATTACTCTTGAAATGTTCTATACTCTGTATATTTGAGTCAGTGTGAAAATTAAACCTGTGGAAAACTTTTTGAAAGCAGAATAAAAATCCCCATGCCTGTGCTTTTAATCAGTGAAAATAAAAATCCTGAGAAATGTGAGCAAATGTCCAAGAAATCTGTCCCCGGCAGTGAAGTAGAATACATGGTTACAACCATGAAGTCTGTGTGAAAAGGAAAGGAGCAAAAATGCGTAATCTTTCAGCTTTCTATACCCAGAGGTGGCAGGACAAATTTAATTCATCAAAAGGATAAAATATCCCCATAGAACTTATTTTTTTTTAAACAGAACTAACTAAATACATTTCTTAGGCAGATTTCTAGAGCTCAAAAAAAGCCATTGAAATTATGAAATTATATGGGGAAAAGTTTAAACAGTGTGCCAGGTGCTCTGCCCTTAGCATCCCTGTGACCCCTGGAGGTCCATTGTTTGGGGATAGTGTGTCAATCCATGCTTGTCAGGATGCCTGCCCTGCCTTCTTCAGTGAACCACACACATTGAAACCTCCAAATGGAAGAAATGCCACTGAAGTATATAAGGAATCATCCAAAATAACAATTAAGTTCACTGGACATAGATTATGAAAATACTGGTGGAATTGCCATCATAGAAGTACATTGAATTTATTTACAATATTGTGTTTAAAGAAACTTAATGGTAGTGACTTATCTGATCAATCCACCTACTTTTTGTTGACAAAGTTTCTGAAGTTTACAAACAGGGAAAGAAAGCACAAGACTTTGGAATTATATGGCAGGACACATCACATGTGCTGTTGGTCCTCAGATAGTTTCATTATTATTTTGACACATGACTACTCAGTTCCAGAATTTCTCAGGCTGCATTCTTCTAAATATACATTTATTTCTTAAATTATTTCTTTCTAATGGCAGACTTTGCATGGTTTTCCTTCAAAATAGAATCTCATTCTTATTCCAAACACTAAATTATTTTCATGCATTTCTTCTAAGCTTGAAAGCTTGAGATGAGTTTTAGTTTCTCTTGCCCCAACCTTAAAAATTTCAGCCTATTACAAAATTTTATTGTCCAACCATGTGTTGATTCCGAATCAGAATTTTTCCTTTGTTTTCCAACTTTCTATGTTATGGCCCCATTTACAACAAAACAGAACAAAAACAAAAACCCAACCTCGCCTAAATACTTGAAATGGTGTACCTGCATTATTGAAAATCTTATTTCCTTCTACCTGATATCTGCAGGGAAGCTGTCCAGTCTTCTGGAAAGACTCTACCTATGTCATTATGCCTAGGCAACCTCTAATGTCCTCCTCTTCTTTTATGTAGCTGTACAGCATCATCCACAACCCCACAAAGCCCACTTGGCTAATGGTGTTTCTTCTCACCTTTGGATATACCTATTTCTTCCATGATTCCTTGAACTCACCTTGAATGTATATAGATATATATTTTTCAGTTCTATATGAAATATTTTCGTAACGCTGCTCTTGTCCTAATCTTTTGTCAGAATCAGTTTCCCTCACTGGATAATAATCATATATTTGTATCACATAAAGTATACACCAAGAGTCTGCTTCTCCTCTCTGTCGTGAATTAACTGGAGATCAATGTCTTTCTCATGCTTCACTGAAGCTTTATTTCTCTCTGGTTAAAATGAGAACAGTGTGTTTAAAATAGATGAATGTTGCGTAAATTAATATAAATATAAATTAGGATTCGTTGTTTGTTACTGAAATAATTTAAGAACAAGAATAATTTTTATTAACTCTCCCCTAAACTTTGTTTTGTAGAGATAACCATACTATAATCATACTAATATGCACAACTCATGCATCTTAATAGTTTTTATCTTTTTTCAAAAATGATACTTTTTATAAAGCAAAAGAATAGATTGAAATATAAGAACTATTTATGTGTAAAGAAATGGCTTAATTTCTACAGTTCTACCTCTAAAATTGAGTTAAATTGATATCATTACAAATTCCATAAAATTTCATTATATCTATGCATATATAGACATTTTAAAATATTTGGATATATTATAAATATTATCTTGCATATTTTTATGGATACTTTGTATTCACCTGAAAAATTGTTGTCATTTGTAAGACCTATTCCTTTAAACTTAGACAGTAAAGTAATTTACATTTTTGAAATACTGTTATGAGTTAGGTAATTTTTACTACATTCTGATAAAATTTCAAAGATAAATATTTATTCTAAATAGATAAGATAATGATTAAACTGCAAATTTATCATGTCAAACAATAATAAATGAAATATCCATATTTATTTTTATTGTGGCTGTGTTCTGAATTGCTGCCAGAATATAAGTATTTTTGATCATTATTCCCTTGATCTGTGCATTATCAAGTTGATTCATTGCATATCAATGTACAAAACCTGATATAAATCTGAATTCAGGTTAGAGTGACTGAATTTTTAAAGAATATTTGCTTGAATGTAATTTGTACTTTGTTTTATTTTTTGTAAGAACATGAGTCAGGAAGTCATCTGCCTTCTGACAAGCAGAAATAGAATATAAAATGTCAATTTTGTGCATATGAATGAGCATCAAGCTGTTGCCTAAAGGACAATTGAATTATTATCAGAAATTTGTTGATAATATAAAATGAATGAGCTGTTTGTTCTCTGACCAGAAGACTTTAACATATCATTTTAACCCCAACAAACTGTGCTGAGAGTTACTGACTGGAATATATGTGAGGATATACTCAAACTGAGAAACAAATTAAATATAATTTTTCATCAGATTAGACCTTACAGAGCTCTAAAGTTCATCCATGTCTCATGGTATAGTTGTCAAAGTCAAAGTTGGATTGCGTAGACATAATAATAATTAGATCTTTACATGTGCTATGAGGAGAGGAGGCAGTGCCCTTAGCAGACAGAACACAAGATTCCTGAAAGATAAAAACGTTATTGAAGGAGGTAGAATTCCACTCAAGCTTGGTGGCATGAAGCTTTTTCAGAGACATAGAAATTTAACTTAGAGGGAGGGCCGGGGATTTAGCTCAGCGGTTCGCTGGCCTGCCTCGCAAGCGTAAGGACACAAGTTTGATCCCCAGTACCAAAAAAATTAAAAAAAATAAAAAAAGGAAATTTAATTTAGAGGAACAGAACTGAGCTGAACCACTCACATGGGGCTGCTTTGTTCCCTTCTACCCAATCACCATACACATGTCGACCAACCCCAGAGCCTTAAGGGAACTCCAAACACTCCTAGCTGGTTGTCTTGCTGGTTTCACTAGGATCTTCTTTGACCTAGCATTTAGGTTTTAAATATCTGACATAAATAATTATGTGCAAAGAGTAATAATCAATCTTAAGTTCTATTTTCTTCCTTATAGCAAGATTAATAATATCTAATTAGTATTGAAGTCTTATAGTTGTACTAATCTAAATATTTAGAACGTTCTTCAAGTTACAACTACTGAACCACTGAAAAATTTATTTTTATAACTGCAGTCATATGGAGACAGATATATAGGTAAATTTCAAATTAATAAGAGTTATTCTACCTGAATATATGAGACAAATAGAGTTCAAATACACTTTGAATTAAATCACTTTAACTATGAGGATTCATGCTCCTGTAGCTTTGCAAAATGCAGAGAAGGGAAATATAAATGTCCTCAATTTTTTTCCTGTTGATCTCTGTCACTCCAAAATCTGTGAGAAAATGAAGGAAATAGTCAAAGAGCATCATTTTTTGTTCAGGATTTCATTTGCTATGCAATTTCCTGTCATGGTTGGTAAAACCAAGCTTATTACCCAAGGCAGACTTTTAAGAGGAGGACTTAAGTAATCCAAACATGATTTTCTGAATTCAATTAAAAACATCTGACATAATTACATTAAATATGTGCATTAGGTTGGAGGATATAATATGGTGTGTTATATGAAGACATTTTCTGTGCCCACTCAAAAACAACAGTGAAGTTTCTATTTGTGCTAATTATTCTGTATGAAGCACTTAGAAAATACTAAATTTTATCTTATGTATTTTTCCTGTGGTTTTTTGGTGTGCCCTGTAAATATACATGGAATCTATTTCTCTCATCCTGAACATATATTTCAGAATGCAATAAATTAGATTTTATTTCTGTCATGATTTAATCAGAATAAGCATAATCAGTTTATAAATTATTAATTACTCTTCTATTTGAGTACTGCAAATATCAAAATTGTAAATGGAACAAAAATGTTCCTGTAATGCAACAATGGCTAAAGTTACACATTAGAAAATTTGATTCGTAAAGCCCAATACTGGAAGACTGGGAGAGAAAAACACACGTGGAAAGATACATGAAATCATCTGGACCCGGGACTTTTGTCTGTACCCTCAAATAAACAGACAACAAGAATAAAATTATACAAATAGAATTGTATTGGATTAAAAGGCTTATGGGGTTGGGGTTGCAACTCAGTAATAGTATAGCATGCAGGAGAACCTCGGTTATATCTTCCCGATCCTAAATAAGTAAATAGCTCGAGAGCAGAAAGGAAATAATCTGTAGTAAAGAGATAGTCATATGACTTTACGACTTTGAATAATTTTGATAAATTATGATAAGCTGTTTACTTACAGCTATAAAGATGGTATATGCAGGGAAGCCAAAGATAATTTGACACTTCAAATGTTGCAATACATGTCATATCAGTCTTCTGAGTATTTGATGCTCACATTCATTGGAATATGCTCTCCAACTTCAAAATTTTGCAGCAAGAATGAAATTTACATTAAATTCCAGAATGTTATATTTTCCATGGTTTGGCTCTTTAACAACAAATGTAAATTTTTGCATTTATCTATTTATGCACTGCATTACATTTAGCATCCAATAGTATGCACCAGGATCTTTGTAAATATAGAGGACATAGCTGTAGAAAAGAAGCCTTCTTTTCATAGGTTTTCATTGTCACCTGGTAAGACAAGTTAAAATACGAAAAGTAAATATCGGTCAGTGAGTTCCCTAAAACTCCCAAGTGAAGAGCAAAGCTGAAGCTTAGTCTTTAAGGTCCCTCTGCTAATAGACAGTCATTACTGAAAAACAGATGAAATCTCGCATCTGTCCCCTGCTTCACCAGTTTTACATGCCTTCTTGGTTCCTCTCTGCGCAACAAAGAGGCAGATCTTGCAGATGAAGTCTGGGAAGGTACAAGGAAAACACTGGGAAGACACTGGGAGGGAGAGGCAGGAAGAAATAGGAGTATGACTGTGTCACTTCCTCCCTCCCCCCTCTGGCACCGTAGGAGACACTGCATCCTTCGTGGCTGCAACTCCGGGTGAAGAAGCCTTCCTACACTTGCAAGGCCCTTGCCTGGCTTTGGTTGCCCAAGACCAGTGACGTCAGCGCCTGGACTCGGTTCCACCTCCCTCTCCTATTTTCACTCCATCACTGACTGACACAGACTCCTGGTGGCCAATTTAGAGATGTTCTAACTGCTCCACACTCATCCTGTCACCGTTTGCTTATCTCATTACCAATTTCTACTGTTGGTTTTCTCATACTAAAATGCAAAGAGTAGCTCCTGATTTTTCTCTCTCAGCTTAGAATTATATTATTTTAAACACAGCTGCAAAAAGCTGAACAGGAGAGGTGATTTTTATCTACAATTATGGAAAAGGCATCAGTTTTCAGTAGGTATTAACTGTTTAAATCTTGAAAAATGAGCATTTATACCAGGACCTTCACAGTGAAATACATCTCCAGACTTTTTTAATTTTGTGACAGGATCTCACTAAGTCACCACCTTGTCTAGGATGAGCTGAAACTGGCGATCCCCTGCCTGGCTTGTACTTTATTTTTAAATGCATTTGATTACAGTAAAATATATGATGCTCTATACCACAGTGTTCTCTGTACTAAAATCACAACGTGAACAGGCAGGTAAATTTTTTCTCAAATGGAACATTGTAGTGGAAATGCTAATAATCTCTTCCAGATAGAAACTGTAATAACTGTAAATGTGTAGCGAACTCAGGATGCAACATGAAAATATATAAATTGAAAGATATTGCAATTATGATTTCATAGGTTGTGTAAGGTACAAGTTCCTTCTAGTTCTTGCTTAGACCTTTTGAATACCTTCAGCAACTAGGAACAGAAGAGTAGTAATTGAGTATCTCCAAATGAATTGTAGTGTATGGGTTCATGCTACAAATTCATTTATTTTAAAGCTATAGGTGACTGGTAACATTGGTATAAGTAGTCATTATTTTGTTCAGTTTTCAACCTTTTTGGTCTTATACAAGTAAATTTATTTCTTAATATTCTTTACCATCAACAGATTTTTGACCAGGTATTTTGAGTAATTATCTAAAAATTAAAAAATCAAATCAATGAAAATATCAAATATGGAATTAAACATTATATTCAATAAAATGTGATGAGAGATGCTTTCAATTAGACAAGAAAAGCAGCATATTTTTTGAAAAATATATAGGATTGAAAATTTAATAAGCACATACATAACTGATAGGAATGAAGAATGTATTTTTTTCAACATCTAACACAGTTACTTTAAAAAAATTAGTAGTCTCAATTCTGAAAAGCAACTGGAAAAATATCTTGTTAAAATCTTATAAGATGAGAGGCCAAAGGAGGTGGACTGGTGCATCCATCCCCTTCCGTGACTCCAGGAAACAAAATCAGCAGCCTTCCCTCCCTCAGCCAACTCAACAAAGCCACCTGACTCTCCAGCTGGCCCTGTCCATGGTACTGAGAAACCGGGAGTAGTCTGGCAGCTTGTTCTGGAATCATGGTTCAAGAGCTAACTGGACTCCCTAAGAGTTCTTACAGACAACGCTCTCTGTGACGCTTTATAATCAGAATGCCGAAGTATAAGGTCAAGGAAGATTTCTGAAAACAGCAAGAGAAACGCTTTCAGTCTTCCCTGCAGTTTCAATGCCAGGATAGTTGAAATCACAAGGTTGACATTAATATGCATAATATTCTTTCACCAGATCACTATTTTTAAAAACTAAAATAATAATAATCACTTGAATTAAAAGGACGAAATAAAAGATGATTACAGTAAAATTAGAAATAATTGAATATTTTGAAATTTGTTTTAAATTTTTTAAAAAACAATCTTTAAGAAATTAAATAAAAATTCAAAGCCAAATGTTTGTAGAATATGTTTGACTTTATTTATCACAAATAATTGATCTGGAAATACAGTGCATATGACCTGGCAGAGCAGGGGAAAGCTGGGGGCATCGTAATCATGAAGGTGTATTATTTGTGTTGCTTATATGAAAACTAAATTCAATTGAGAAGGCTAAGGAGACAGTAACTAAAGCTGTAAGAGAAATGAGGGAATTCAATGAGGTAAGATTTAGATAAATAAAGATGGAATATAGTAAAGAAAAATGATAACTTTGGAAAGCAGAAGGAGAACGTGTTTTCTTCATTATGGGACAGTGAGGACTAAGAGGAGGAATGGATATGCATGGGCGTTTTGAGGTAGAGAGCTTGGAATTTGAGTGCATGCTTGTCAGGCAACCTTGTTTTCTAAAGACCAGGGAAAGCCAGGAAGGTGAGATTAGATAGTGAACATTCATAGGAAAATGGATCCATATTGAGGATATACTCCTACATGAAATAAATAAGTCACACATGTGTAAATACCGAATAATTTCTCTGGTGTGAAAAACTACAATAGTACATAAGATCCTACTGAGATAATTGACCACGTGAAATAGGAAGAAAAGGGCTAAAGGTGTAGGGAAAGTGGGAAGGGTAGGGGAAAGGTAATAAGGGAAAAGAAAAAATATAACAAAATGAAAAAATGGAAATAAATGGGGAGGGGAGGAGGGGATGAAAGGAGGGTAGGGACAAGGGGAAAAATGAGAACCAAGACCTGTCATGTAAAGATTCAAGATCCCAGTAATGAATGTAATTGCGCTGAATACCTAAAATGTACCAATAAACTCAATAGAAGAAAAACATGTACTGGGATTATGGATTCAGAAATATTTTAAAGGTCTGTTAGCAAAAAAACAGAAAAGAAAGCATTTGTCTTAAATTAAAAAAAAAAACCTTAGTAAACTAGAAGTACCTCTGTCAGCCAGTGAATACTATCCTCCCCAATAAACTAATAGCTCAGCAGTTCTGCCACTTGCCTCTCAAGAGCAAGGTCCTGAGTTCGATCCCTGGTATAAAAATAAATAAATAAACTAATACAGAAAAAGTGGAAGCAAAAAGATACTACAATCCTTGGTTTTGCACTCTTTCATCTATCCGTATTTTAAATATTAACTTCTTTCTGTTCTAGAACAATCTGCAGATGCACAACACAATCCAATATCCAAGATGTGTATGTGTACAATGTAATGCATTACCTACTTGTATCATAGAAACTCATGAATATATGAGCATTTGAACTATAGATTTATATTCAAAGTCATTACATAATAATAAACAATGTACATTTCTAGGTGACAAAATGAACACGTTGGAGCATTTTCACGAGTATTTTCATAAACAACAATGTTACTGAGACCCCCTCCCTATTTTTTAGTTTACTTTATCTACTACAGTATAAATTAGCAGGAATAATTAAAGGCTTGGAAATTTTCCCAGAAAGTTCTTTTTATCAAACTAAAATATTCTATTCAAACTTAATTAAAAAGCTATTTTTGTTGTTGTTCATCATAGTTTGATTAAGATACTTGTAGAAAAATGCTGAATTAGAAGCTGTAATTTTGCCACTAGATCACTAGATGGTATACAGTTCCTTTAAGGAAATATGCATCTGAAAATATGTGTAACAATAACTTCATTGTCCAATAATATTGCTAAGTTTATTCATTTATCTGTTTTACTCTTGGCAAAAATTAATAGACTATTGTAGAACTTTTAAAGATTCTAAAAAAATCATCTTTCTAATGTTACATAATAAAACAATGTCTTCCCAGATCTTTAGTTAATGATTCAATGCCAACCTTTAAATTCTTTATTTATGGTATATTACTAGGTCTAATCTGGTATACAGAGAATTAGAATGCTATACTTATAAGTTTTGTAAAATTGTAAATCTGAGATCTTCCAGGTTGTCAAATACCACAGAATATCATTTGATTAATATTGAAAAAAGACATCTAATCTGGTAACCTCAGAGTTTCAATAATCAACATTCTTTTAGTCGAAATAAGTATAGATTATCATACAATTCTACATTTATTTGCCAAATCATGTGGACTTATATTTTAAGTCACATAGGGGATAAGGAAACAGATTCATCAATATCTGTGGTTATCAAAAATCAAAACAGTGCATAACTACTTAACTGAATTATCTCAACTACATTTTATGGTGTTTTCCATATATCTCTTTATTGATGCATAATATTCTTGCTTAACACATTCAGCTCAGACATAAGCCATTTTCATCATAATTTTTTTAAAATTGCCTTCAATATTTAGAAAAAATAATGATTTAACATTCATAGCTAGGGAAAACATAAACTGGAATTTAAGTGAATAGTAAGAAGCTGAAAGCATTTTGTGAAGAAACATGAAGTTCCTTATATTTTCAAGCATAGATTTTTATTATGTATATTTATCAGTAATTAATAAAATATTCTTTGAACTTCTGATTTCAGTCAGAATTTCAAGTCAGGATTACAGCATTTATCCTGGTCCAGCCCTCAATCAAGTAAGAAGAGCCCAGATCAGAGCTCAGGAAGGAAGTGTAGAAAAATTCCAAAGGGTGGAAGGGAAAAGTCGGCATCCTGGTGACTATGGTGTCTGAGGATGACATTAGAGTTCTCTGGATTTTCTCACTGACTTCATGTACAATAAATACAATCCTGCAGATGCTTCTAATATAGAAGTGTCAAAAGGTACAGACAAACACAGACAACTCCAAGAGAATCCTGCTCTCCTCACCCAAATGTTCTCAAAAATAACATCTTAATAAGAAATGACTTTAGGGGCAAGGTTTATCTTATTTTAAGCAAACATATAGTTTGGAAGTGAGCTTTCATTCAAGCTCAAAACCAAAGAAAACAGAAGGACTTGCTCTTTTTTCCCACCCTGTGATATCACGTGGGCCAAGCAGTAAGCACAACCTCCACACCTTGTCCAAATGTCAGAGCATATAATCTCCAGGCCTTTTTTAAGAGAGTACCAGTGAAGCTGAACACAGAGCTTAGTTTTCCATTCTTGCCCTGCAGAAGCAAGTGATTATTTAAACTACTGATTAGGAGATTTCAGAGGATCTAGTTTAGACTTGAGCCTCTTCCCTCCTATTAAGACTAAGGCTTAATATCCCAGGGTGATGGACAGAGAGGCTCCACTCTGCCCTGCCCATTCCTATCTGACTCTCAAGTGGTCATTGCAGAGCCAGGCTTCCAAGTCCCTGAGCGTTACCAGGAATGAGGTACCTGGAAGTGGGGAAAAATGAAACTGCAATTGAATTTCTTGCTCTACCTCATGTCATAGTGGGTAGGAGGGAGCCAGGGGAGTTGTCCAATCCCAGAACAATAAAGCAATACAAGTCACTCCTCCAGTTTCTCTTCTTACCCAGGACCAGCAGGAGAAGGTGGGAACTGAGCTTACTTTGCTCACATAGCAGCAACAGGACAGTGCCTCACTTGCACCACTGTGCTTTCTTCAGAAGGACAATGAGGAGAGACAGGTGTCCACCACACCACTTGTATAGGGATCATCCTCCAGCACCCTCACTTTTCCAGGAGGTTCTTTGTGGGACCCAGGGGGCGACTGAGTGCATATTCCCATTGTATTTCAACACTGAAAGTGCCTGGTGAAAGAAAGAGTCAACAGAATCTAGAGCCTCATGATCTAATGTCCAATGTGTTCAGTGCACAGCTATAAATTGCTTCTCATAAGAAACTGGAAGGTCTCAACAGGAATAAGAAAGGAAAATCAATTGATAATAGCTGAGATAAATCAGATTGGAAATGTCTGATAAGATTTTCAAGTGGAAATCTTAAACACTGTTCATTGATCTGTGACAAATTCCTTGCAAATATTTTTTAAAAGAAAGGGAGCAGAAGATTTCAACAATGTCATATTATGGTAAAGATCTTAATGGAAATTGAGAACTAAACTATAAAGATATTTTAAAAAATAACAATGTGTTCAACAAAACTACATTGAAATAGCAGAAATAAATTGGAAAAGAATATTTAAAATTGTTTAATTGATAAGAAATCAAGAAATGAAATAAAAAAGTGACAGAAAACAAACACTAAATGGAAGAAGACTTAATGTAATATTCTTAATGTAATCTAAATATGCATTACAAGGCAAATATTGGGAATGTAGATTAAAACAAAACCAAACAAAAACAAAACAACCAAAATATATTCATTTTAGAAGAAACTTATTTAAATTTCAATAGTACAAACAATTCGAAAGTAAAATTATTAATAGAAGAGCAAACTATAAAAATAAAGTATGAAAAACAAGAGTAGCTATATTCATAGAAGGCAAAATAACCTGTACATGAAAATACTACAGATTAACGCATGTAGGATGTGTTCTATTTCCATATGGAATCAAATCAGAAATAATAATAGAAAGATAATAGAAAATAACAGCAGGTAACAACACATTATCTATCCAGTAAATAAGGAGGGAAATCCAGAGTGCCAGGAGGAAATCTCAAAGTGAAAATTTAAAAAATATATACAACCGAGTATAGATAAGATTTAAACTAGCACATGTGGGATGCAACTAAAGCAGTGTGGTAGGAAAGCTGATGGCACTACAAAAGTATGTCAG